GATAGTTCTTTCCTGTTCAAAAACAGAGGAACAAGAGGAAGCACAGATCATGAAACACCAGGCAGTCTGCTTACAGGAGCCATGCCAGGAGGGATGACTCCCTTACTCATTTCCTATTCTCCATGCGAGACAAGACATCTGCAGTCATTTTCCTTTGGAAATGCAAAGCACATTAAACAAAGACCCTTTCAGTCCCTATTAAGAGATTATTTTTGTCTGTATTTGTAATGTTTCATTTATTATCAAAGGGTATTTTATCTCATGCACACCTACATATTCCATCAGGCTATATTTACATTTGTTTAACACACTTAATTAAGAACATTGTTAAAAGTTTGGAAAGACTTCCTCTTCCATGAAATTTGAAAATTGAAGGTAGCATTTAGCAGGTTTCCTTGTCAACTGCAGTAGTCATTTTTAGAATTGTTAGGGAGTAATTCAATTACCCACAGAGTTCTGCTTTCTAAGAACGTGCAAATGGAAGTCTTGTCTGAAGCAAGCCAGAAAACCTACTAGAAGTGTTCTAGACTTCAGCAACAATAAAAGCATGCTACTCTTCAAGTCTTGGTTGGGAAAAGTATTTGGTCATTTTCTGCTTGCCTTTGGTCTTTTAGAGCCCAGCATTATGTCCTTTGCTCTTTCCAAGGAGGCTATAAAAAAGAGCTGTGGGGCATGCAGACATTTTGAAGTGATTTAGAACTCCATCAATTGTAATTTTATAAAATATAAGCCATCACAAGCTGATATGAGTCTTTAATTTAGTAACTCTGATCAATTATAAAACAAGCCAACATAAAATATAAATACTTGCTTGTGATAATATAATCTTCTATGTGAATTTCAGGTAAAATTTGTCACATTTACAAAACGCAGATAATTGTTAATGATAATAATTGTTGCTGAGAACTGAAGAGCAGTTGGCTTTCTGTGGAATTCAACACCTTTCCTTTAAATCTCTACTCCCCTGAATCACCCCCCCCAAAAAAAAACTCAGTCTATATTGAAATTCAAATTTAATTTTGAAATAAAGTTTATAGGATGAAGTATAGTAAGTCAAAAATGGTTCAGCATATTTTTAGTGCAGTCTAAGTCTTTGTGTATCTCACTGTGCTTTTCTGGAAAGCCATGCTGGGACAAATAAACTTTGTTTCCTCAGTGACCTGCAACTTATTTTTCTTCTTTTTTCTTTTTTTAATTGATAAGTAAAAAATTTATGTTTATTCTGTACAACATTATGTTTTGAAATGTACACATTGTGGAATGGCCCAATTGAGCTAATTAACATATGCATTACCTTGTATACTTATTTTTTTTTCTTCTTTTTTCTTTTTTTAATTGATAAGTAAAAAATTTATGTTTATTCTGTACAACATGATGTTTTGAAATGTACACATTGTGGAATGGCCCAATTGAGCTAATTAACATATGCATTACCTTGTATACTTATTTTTTATGGTAGGAACACTTGAAATCTACTCTCTCAGTGACTGTCCAAATACAGTACATTGTTATTTACTATAGTCACCATGTTCTACAATAGATTTCTTGAACTTATTCCTCCTGATATTTTGTATTCTTTGACCAACATCTCCCAGCCAGTCCCTCTACACCCCAGATCCTGGTAACCAGTATTCCACTCTCTGCTTTTATGAGTTCAACTTTTTTAGATTCCACATATAAGTGAGATCATATGGTATTTGTCTTTCTGTACCTGGTTTATTTTACTTAATATCCTCCATGTTCATCCATGTTGTTGCAAATGACAGGATTTTCTTCTTTTTTTAAGGCTGAATAGTATTCCATTGTGTATATACACAACTAATTTCTTAACCTATTCTTCTTCTTAATGTTAATACCTTCTTTAGTTGAACGTAGTATTTTTGTAAGTTTTAGCTCCAGTCTACAAATTCCTAACTAAGATAAAACTGGCAATACTGGGAAGACCAAGATATTAATAAAAATCAGATAACCATGTACAAAGTAAATCTATTTTTCCTCAAGTATGTGGTACCGTTACATGAATTTTTGGTGGCTATTTCTTTTTTTTCTTCAGCTGGCTGGTACAAGGATCAAACCCTGGACCTTGGTGTCATCAGCACTGTACTCTAACCAACTGAGCTAACTGGGCAGCCCTGGTGGCTACTTCTTGAAGGACATTGCATGTAGCTTGCTTATCTTTGAGATATAGCCTGCAACCTAATTTCGGCAAAGCAGCCCAGAGTGATTTTTATTATGTCATGACTCCTTTGCTCAAACCCTTTCTTGGCCTTGTTCTTTAATGACCTTGAAGCTCTCTGTGATTTGGCCTCGCTCCCCTGCCCCCGGCATCATCCTGATGACTTCATCTCTGGCTTCTCTTCCCCTCCCTTTCTCTGTTCCAGGGCAGTGGCCTCCTGCTCCTCTAACACTACAAACAGACCTTGAAGCTCTCTGTGATTTGGCCTCGCTCCCCTGCCCCCGGCATCATCCTGATGACTTTATCTCTGGCTTCTCTTCCCCTCCCTTTCTCTGTTCCAGCGCAGTGGCCTCCTGCTCCTCTAACACTACAAACTAGTTCCCCATTTTCTGAAATGCTACTCCCTCAGATATGCTCGTGGCTTTTTCCTGCAGTCTCTTCTTAAAAGTCTGATGGTCCAAGAGCCCTACTTGGCTCTCCTAAATATAATAGCATGCATGAACACCTTCCTTCCCTATCCCTGTTACTCTGCTTCATTTTAATCCACAGCACTTTTTGCTAGCTGATTTGTTGTATATTGGCTTGTTTATTTCCTTAAGAAGTTCTTAAGTGTTATTCTCCATAAGAATGAGGTCTCCATGATGGTGGTTTTTCTGTTTTGCTTGCTGTGTATCTCTGGCGCCTAGAAAAGTACGTGATGCAGAGTAGCCATTCAAGGAATGAATGAACAGTCCATTTCAGCTCATGACAAGCAGGAGGATGGGGAAAAGCCATCCCCAGTGGGGAAAGGATCTATTGTTAGATTTCACTCTATTCCCTCAGTCTTTGGGAGGCTGAAAGGCCAAGAGTTTTATTCTATTTATATTTATTGTCACCTTTTTGAGGCAAGTACCCATTCAGTAACTATATATAATCTTTGTAAATGAGTAAGTTAAAAAGTCAGTCATTTTCTTATATGAGAATATTTTATTGAAGTATAACATATACCCAGAATAGTGCAAAAATAATAGATCATTAAATTTTCACAACATAAATACATCCTTGTCCCCAGCAAAACATTACCAGAATATCAGAAACCCCTTCATGTTACCAGCAATGTAATAACTTCCCAACGGTTGCTTTACCCACACTTTAAATGTTGTAGATGGTTTTGCCTATAGTTGAACTTCATGTAAATGGAATCATACAGTATGGGCTCTTTTATGTCTGTCTTCTGTTACTTGAAATTATTTTTATGAAAACCAACTATGTTGTTGCAAATAGTAGTAGGTCATTCATTTTCATTGCTGTATAAAATTCCATTCTACTATTGGTAGATATTTGGGTTGTTTTCAGTTTTTGTGTATTAGTGCTGCTGTGAACATTCTTGAATGTGTCTTTTGGTGAACATATAAAGACGCATGGCTTAAGCTTCAGGAAGTATTGCCAGACGTTTTTCCAAAGTGGTCTTACCAGTGCACACTCCCACCAGCAGTGCAGGAGAATTCTAGTTGCTCCTCGTCATTACATTTAGGATTGTGTCTTTTACGTTTCAGCCATCTGGTGAGTGCATTATGAGCGCAATGTGGTTTTAATTTGTATTTCTCATGACTAACTTTTGAGCACTTTTTAACGTATGTGTTGGAAATTTGGAGAAGTCAAATCTATTTCCATGAATATTAAGTCGTTGATATAGGTATGTGGATAAGGTAGAAATCATGTAGGTGATAATTAAATTAAATGACTAAAATTTTGTAAACACTGCTTTTGTTAGTGAGTCTTTTACTAATGGATAGATTGTATCCTCCTTACAAAGCTTTTGCTCTGATATTCAATTCAGTAGAAGCTTTTAGTGTTTAATTATGAATAACTCCCTCTGCTGGATGGTTTATGTCATGGGATGCTTCCCACAGGTCATCGTTAAGCAAGGTCTAGAAGCAGGAGCTCAGGGTATGACAGTGTGGCAGAAAGTGGAAGCCAGGGTACCAGAAAAGCCTGAATAAAGTGTGGAGGTATGAAAATGTATGAAACTTTTAGGAAATTACTTGTGCAGTTGTGATTATCATAAATAATAAGGAAAATTGCCACCTTGTTTTCTATAGGGAATTACAGCTTGAAAAATGGCACTTAACATTAGCTTCTGAAAATACCAAGGGCAGCCAATGATAAACTGGGCTGAGTTTAATTATATTAGTTGTGTAGCATGAAATGTTTGAATTTTACTGATATCATTTACCAACAATTTTTACACTAAAAGAAAAGAGGCATGAGTGGGGAAAATTTTTCATGGATAGCTTTTTGCTTTCCATATTAGGCCCAATGTCAGCTCTCTAAAATGCAGAATTGAACAACACGTGTATTGTCATTGAGAATATGTGGAGAAATAATGTTAACTATGGAATTTTTACAGCTAACATATTGTTATTTAAACAGAAAAACACTGGCAGCATCTAGTTAAAAAAATAATTTCATTATCCTTTTCTGAGTTGCAATGAATTATTTTTAATTAGTGCTTTATGCATTATCTTTGCCTGACATCACATTTTAGTTTGCTGTTGGAAAAATAAAAGTCCTTATCACCTTACATTTTAATATATTTTAATGAAAACTTTCAAAATGATTAGGCAGATTTTTTTTTTCTGTTTAGTTTCAAAGATATTTGAAGAATTTATCTTAAAATACTGTAGGGGATGTCTATAATTTCTGAGTACACCTGTTTCTATTTTAAGGCCAAATATAACTCAGTCGTTGAGAAAAAAAAAATCATGATGGTGATAAACGTGGAACAAACATGTCTTTGGAGTCAGTAATCACGTCATGTGGTATTCTTTATCTGTAGGTTGAAGAAAAAGTCCCAGTCAGTGGATATTACTGCTCCAGGGTTCAACCCTTTGGCTGGTGCAGGAAAGCAAGTGCCTCAAGCCAGTAAGCCGCCTGCACCCAAGACCCCCATCATTGAAGAAGAGCAGAATAACACAGCCAATACCCAGAAGCATCCTTCCCGAAGGAGTGAACTGAAGAGGTTCTACACCATTGGTGAGCTGCAGATGTCTTATGCAAATGAATAAGTGAAGTCTGCCTAACGGCGCTATGCATTTGTGATTCTGCTTAGCTAAATGGCCCCTTGCTATATAACGTATACTTTCTGTTGGTTTATTTAGACATTATCTTACATGGTCTGGACATGAAGATGCAAAAATACTGAAAACCTTCAGCAAAGTAAAATATGAGAGGAGACTCCAAGACTTTCTGTATCTTACCCTAAGGGGAGTAAATATATTTATTAGGTTTTTCAGCTTATGTGCTACTATTTTTATTTTAGCCATTCTTCAGCCGGTGCCGGTTCTGTTTTTTGTTTTTGTTCTTTTCGTTTTCCCTTCAGGTTCCCAAGTCTCTGACCCTGTTCTGTCAGGTGGTTAAGATACTGGCTGATGTAAGCCTGTAACTAACAAAGTCACTAGGAAAGTAGAAAGTTATTACATTGTCAGCAAGGACAAGTTATATTGTAGGTCTGTTTTGGTCTTCCACATTGCTTTCCTTTCGAGAGATTTAATCACATCCCAGAACCTTTTATATGAGAGAGTTGTAGGCTATGGATAGGGTCTTGCAGGCATTATGTGTTTTTTCCAAATAGAATAATATCCTTTAATTTTGAACTCTATCATTTAAATGGAGAGTTGTAGGTAATTAATTTAAACATGTCGAATTACCAAATTTTGTGTGCCAGTATTTGCCCAGCATGTTTTTGGCCTTGCTTTTTAACTAATAACAATTTTTCGTGTCTTAGGTCTATTTGAAACAAAAGTTATCTATTTGAGACATATCATATATGGTTGAAGATAGTATGAGTAGGGGAAATAAATCCACCCATGAAGAAGATGGTTGTGTTAGCCTTTTATGTTATTTCATTTTGGAGATTTGGACACATCCGAAAGTTTTAATGGTACAAACCATGGCTTAATGGGTTATCAAAGTTACATCCAAGGCAAAATTTTTCTTTGGCATCAGCACCCCCACCACCCCAATATGGGATGTTTGTTTTAAGATGATTAAATTTTTTTTTCTCAGATATTTTAGTATCCATATCTAGAAATGACAATCAAGAGACCAGATTTCTAGTTCTGATTCCTATGCTAATTTTCCCTGTGACTTTGTCAAGTCATCTTCCAATGTCTTTGGGTTAAATTGCTTTTATCAAGCTTGGAGAGAGGGCTCCTTATAGGTCTAGTATTATCTCAAATTTGGCTGGTAAAACCAAGCTTTTTCCCTTTTCACCATTTCATGTCCTCTGCCCATACCCACTTCAGGCTTCCTCTGTCCAGATTCAAATGTTCAAGTCTTATTTTTCAACCAGCAACCATCATGGTGTCATTGAGGATGTCCATAGTCAGATAACGAGAATTAATAAGACAGTGTAGACAGGTGCATACTTCCATTTCTAAAACTTTTGGTTGTATAGTTCTGAAAATTAATCAACTAGAGAAGCTCATAAAGTTTACATGACTGCCTCTCCATTTACCAATGTCCTTCCTTCCTACCCTTCAACCTGTCTACCACCTTCTGTTGCTGTTTGATTTATTAACTGGCTAAAAAGATATAGCATTTTGCCTCCGGAAAATAAATTTTATACTACGAACTCAATATTCCTTAAAAATAAGAAAATTAGGGAGAAAGACTGACCAGCTTGGCTACAGTGAACGAAGATCTTATTCTAGAAAATAGAAGTCTAAAGGGTGAGTTCGAATTGCAGCAAGATGAACTATGAGTTATTTTAAACAGCACCACCACTAGTGAATTTTTAATTTTTTAATTTGCAACAATTTGATTCATAATCAACGTCAATGGCATGTCTATTGTGTTCAAAGAGACATCTGAACTGTTTATTTTACTGTATCTATGTAACCCTTCTATTATTGGGAACTGGAAACGTTATTTTCAAGGCTGAAATATTAGCAATCATGTAATCCCCTATACTGAACGTTTCTTTCACAAAACCAGTCTACTTCAGTGTCTCTTAGTAAAATTTTTGGTAATCAACAACAACAATAAAAATTTCCATTTATGGTAATTTTATGTAACAGGGACAAGTTAAGCTCCATCTTCCATCTCAGTTCATCCTCTGCAACAACTCTGACAGGTGGTGTTACACTTTATTTTTATTTATTTATTTTTTTTTGTCTTTTGTCTTTTTCCGTGTCCGGCAACGGATCGCAACCCTCAGTGTTGCCCCCGTACCGGACTGGGGACCGGCAACGGGATTGCAACCCTCGGTGTTGCTCCCGCGCCTCGCTCAGCCAGTGAGCGGGAACCGGTCTGTATGTGGGATCCGAACCCTCGGGCGGGAGCGCCGCCGCGCTTCCCAAGCGGCGCACTATCCAGTGCGCCACCGGGCCGGCCCTACACTTTATTTTTATAGATGAAAAATAAAGTCTTAGAGAAGTTAAAGGAGCCATAAGCCATAGAGAGCAGACTCTGAAATGAAATTCACCTTCTCTTGTGACATGTTAGAATCAGCCTTTGGTATCATTCAAAAGGAAGCCAGGCCCCTCTGCACAGTGGTGAGCCAGAGAAGTTTCTATGGATAATGCAGTGGAGTAACATTTTTACCGTAATTTCTAGATAATCTCATTGAAGGCAACCATGCTAACCCATCCACTAGTCAGTATGCCCATTCATTCAAAGTTAGCTTCCAATGACTCAATTTAGTGTTCCCACTACTGGAAAAACCTGGGAGCCCTCTTGTGGCCAAGTGAAGTACTACCTTTAAATTTAGCAATGAAGTACAATATTTACCAGATTTAAATTCAGGCAATGATTGTAGGGCTTAAAGAATTTTCAAATAAAAAAATTAAGAAATAGATAAATTTGGCACTCATTGAAATGCCTCTTAGTGGCTAATGAATAGCTGCAGTAGATTCTCTAGAAATTTCTTTTTGATGTCACAGCTATTATCCTTCATGAACTTAATGTAGAAGATCTCCTTACCGAGGAAACAGAATTTATAGCCTCCTAGTATAGATATAGGCTCGGGTCCTTAATTATTCCTAATAACAGAACACATTATACCTAATAAAAGAGCAAAAAAAATGGTACAGCATACACTCATTATTATTTATAACAGAATGAGCAGTCTTAGAAGAAGTATAATAAAATTTCGTTGATTTGGAATAAGTAGAGGAAAAGCTAGTCTCTATCGATGTGAAATATATGAATCTTCAGATAAGTTAAAAAGAAAGTAGTCATTATATCAGGACTGTGGCTCATGAAAGAGCTTTTTTTCTGCCCTACTTCTGGCACTAACTGTGTGATCTTGGCACAAGTTATTTACTGTCAATTGGCCTTATGTTTTTTCATCTGTACAGTGAAAGAGACCAAATCAATGTCTTTCTAAGTTTTTTCTCTCTTGTTCTCTTTTTATTATCACAACTAATCAAAGTACTGTACAAGTTTTCTATTGCTGTAAAACAAATTACCGCAAACTCTGCAGTTTGAAACAACACTCATCTATTAGCTCACACTTTTGTGGGTCAGAAGTCCGTATGGCATGGCCGGGTTCTCTGCTTGGGGCATCACAGGCTGGAATCAAGGTTTTAGCTGGGCTGAGTTCTCATCTGGAGGTTCAACCAGGGAAAGATATGCTTGCAAACTCATTTTTGTTGGCATAATTCAGTTCCTTGCAGTTGTGGGACTAAGCTCCCCATTTCCTTATGGCTGTAAGTCAGGAACCACTCTCTGCTTCCTAGAAGCCACTTGCTTTCCTTGCCAGGTGGCCCCCTCCATCTTCAAACCAGAAATTTCACATCAAATTCTTCTCATTTGATCCCCGACTTTCTCTCCTGTGAACAACCGGAAACACTCTCTGCTCTTAAAGGACTCATGCAGGTAGGTTAGGTCCACCCAGATAATTTCTCTTTCTTAAGGTCCACACAACCTAGTCACAGGAATAAAGTCCACCATATTTACAGTGCCCAGCATTATGCAAGTGTATACACCAAAAGGATGGGAAATCTTAGGAACCATTCTAGAATTCTGCCTAATGTGTTTTATCCTGCCACCTTGTGTGTACACAGTCATATACCAACACAGCTTGTATTAGTCCATTTGTTTCTTATAGCAGAATACCTGAAACTGGGTAATTTATAAAGAAATATAATTTATTTCTTACAGTTTCAGAGGCTGGGAAGTCCACAGTCCAGAGGGTACATTTGGTTAGGGCCTTCTTGGTGGTGGCTCTACAGTAACACAGGGTATCACATGGCAAGAATGGCATGAGCTAGAGAGAGACTAACCCCCTCACTTGCTCTTCTTATAAAGCCATCAGAACAACGCCCATTACTTCATGAATGGGTCAATCCGTTCACCAGGGCATAGTCCTCACAATCTAATCACCTCCCAAAGGCCCCACCTTTCAATTACCACAGTAGGATTTCCCACCCTCAACACTGTTACTGTAGGGATTAAATTTCAATGAGTTTTGGAGATACATTCAATCCACAACATAGCTCAAACAAAATTTTCTCAGAATATTTCTCTTACTATTTATTCTGATTGTTTCTATTTTATCCTATTTCATTTTTTAAATACAATCTCATTACATCAGTTTCATGGTTTATTAACAAGTTGTTGCCTGCAGTTTGAAAAATCCCTATACTTGATATTAGAAGTCTTTCAGATTCTTAAAATTATATTATTTTAAAAATAGAATTGTTAATTAAAACTAGAATAACAAAACATTAACTTAGTAAACTAACACTAATGTATGAATAAAGAGTAGAATTTTTCACTTTTCCAATTTTTGTTTGTGCCACATAAAACTACCTGAGTTTGAATGTATGTAAGAAACACATATCCTTCAAAACAACAACTTCTACTTAAAGATAGAAGATGAATCCTATTAGTAGACTCAGGTACTTATAATACCCTATATATTCCACTACCCTTAGTTCAGAGAACTACATGTAAGGACTCCTGAAAAAGTCACATATTAGGTATGGAAGTAGTGATGAAAACTGTGCACAAGGGATCCCAAAATGTAC